CAAACCCTACATGCAAGCAGGCTTCCTCTTCATTACACATTCATATGAAATTCACACATTTTAGCTGAAAATACAACATTTTGGAAAGACTGGCTCGGGAATCTGCCGCGGGTCGGTAGATGGCATGGATCACCTGTGTTACTGTGCATCATAGAGCAGAAAAATATCAACAGGCCTAAAAGCTGGGTGTGTGAGTGAATATAGAGAATTGTGTAGAGGTTGTTTTGTGCGATGCACTGTCAGAATTGTCCTGGCATGCCTTCTCACTAATGCCTTTAGATTAGAGCTGGGCGATATAAGATTTTTTCATATCACGATATGTTTTTTTCATTTCAGGCGATAACGATATCTATCATGATATAAGCCGAATAACTATATTTGTACAATTTAAATGTGCCGTTGCTCACAAGTAAAATGTGAAATAATCAGCAGCTTGTTTTTAAATATTTATTTCCCATAATAAGTTCAACAGGGTAGATGTACTTAAGGAACATGAGACTTTTTCAGATAAATAAAGGCAAATATTGCAAACTACACAAAAGGCAGCCGCTAAAGCGTTTAAGTTTCAAAATAGGACAAACGAAACAGACTAAATTGTCGATTCCACTTAGAAACAAAATATTAATTCTAAAAATAAATCTTAGTTTGTTTTACAGAAGAACAGACAAAACTGACTAACTTTTGTCAATATCAAATAAACTGAGAACTAAAAGGAAATTCTCAATCTCTCCTTGTTGTATAGCTGAGCTTTTCAAACAGTTTTAACAGTTACTTTAGTCTGACAAAAGCCGAATGACGAATTAGCGCTTCCAGTCAGAGACTGAGGCTACGTCCACACGTACATGGGTATTTCTGAAAACAGAGATTTTCTGTTTTCGTTTTAAAAAATAATCCCGTCCACACATAAAGGCAGAAATGAAGGAAAACGCTGCTATGAACATGCCAAAGCAGCAGGTGGCGCTAGATTCCTAACCGTGCAGAAATGTTGGCCAATCAGAAGTCTAGAAGCCTCGGTGGGAAAAGTAAACAAAGCTGGGGCATAGAAGCAGAACCGAGTCGTATGTGTGGAGGGACAGTAACTGTGTGTATATGTGAGCATTTAAACACTGCAGAGAGTAGAATTAACAGTATTGTAGAAATTCATTTCACCGAAACAATAACGTGGCGCACAGTGTGACGTCAAAAAATGCGCACACCTTTGACGCTGCGTTTTCTCCGTTTTTCTAGTCCACACGTAAATGCAAAAACGGAGTTTTCAAAAATATCCACCCTGGCCGGAGTTTTTAAAAATCTTCGTTTTCAGTGACCAAAAATGGCGTCTATGTGTGGACAAAAGGTGCAAACGCATAGAAAAATTTGTGTTTTCAAAAATACCCGGGTACGTGTGGACGTAGCCTGAGCATGCACCAGTTTATTATATTTCCAGACTTGCTTTCGGCACATTTACAGTGCACGCTACTCTGTTTTTTGTCAGACTTGAAATAGCCGAAATACCTTCACACTACGGGACTTCTTTGGCTCTTCCGTTCGACAATCTCTTCGGCATTGGAACCAACATCTGTTTTCTCTTCGGTCACGCTCGGTTGATTTTTCTAGTCGGCACACTCATTTCCTCCATTACCCGGAGGTGGCTGGCTGCTTCCCAAACATGTACGGCTTGGCACTTGTGCTGTACGTAACAAGTCACGTGACGTGACGCTGCAGCTGTGATTGGTTCGGCTCTGCGCTACTTAATTTGGATTGGCTGTTCTTTTTTTTTTTTAAAGAGGACAAGAGCGGCAAGGTCTATCGCGATAGCTTAATTTTTCTATCGAGAAAAAGTTACATACATATCGTTATCGTTCTATCGCCCAGCTCTACTTTAGATTTAGCTGGGCCTGACCACTGGAACGATTATGTCTCAGGGCCAGAAATATCCACGTATCCAACGTCCAACTTCAAACATGACAGTAAGTGAAGGGACCATGAAGAGAAAATTAGAGCGTTCAAAGACTCGCTGTGCTGTCAGACACTTGACCAAGCAGCCAGGCGTGGTTTTACCTCCCATCCTTTCTCTGGACTCCTGTTTCTGCCACACACTCTAAGGAACATGCCCCACTGGTTTGGACGACACATTGGTGCCTGCCATGTGGTTGTTTTGGTGTGTTCGGAGCCAGACGTTAACATTTAAGGAGGAAATAGGGTTGTCTGCTAATGCTTGCACACATACGTGCACATGCATATACTCCACATGCCGCTGGTACTGCCAAAAGGTCTTACTCTGTGCCACGTCATGTTACAACCTGTGGTACAAGAACAAGTGGCCTACAGGAGGTGATGGCAGAGTCAGAGGTTTTCTGAACAGCATCATTAATCAAACTCACAGAAATGCTTTTACAGACTCACACATGTTCTTTTCTTGGCTCTTTGTCTACTTGTCATTAATTAATCAGTCAGTAATTAGAAAAAACAAACTGAGATTTTACTTCCAGTGGCAAACGCCTGTGCACAGTACACAACAGGACAGCGTGTACACTCCTGGGTTGTCCTGAAGACTGATTTTTTGACCTTTGGGGGTTTCGGAGTAATCAGCAACAAATAATCAAAGCTTCCCCCAGCAAGTGGAGGGTTGGGGTGGCGAACAATGACACGTCTAATTTGATAAACACAGCAAAATCACCATTAACGTGAGTTCAAGACAACGTTGACATTTCAGCTAGTTAAAAGTAGATCACTCAGATAGAAATTCACAAGCAGCAGAAAAGCTCTTACTGTCTCCTTTCACACTGCTGCTCTCTGTCACTGTCTGACCTTGTTTTTCACATTCATCATCGTTGTGAAGCAGTAGGATCCTGTCACCAGATTTCTGCTAAAGGGAACTTGAAAAATGTCTTAATCTAGCAACAAATTGGCGAAATTAGCAGCAGTGAGAAGAAATGTGAAAACAGGAAATCAGCTGACACGATGAAGTATGTTTGGCCTTTTCTGTGCTTTTATTTATTTCAGGTTCTTTATGTTTGGCTACTGCAGATTTTAAGAAATAATTCTACTCATATATGACGCTGTGTGGTCAAATACATCAGCGATCTTCAGCAGCAGTTTGCAGAAGGTTTGTCAAAAATTCTCTTGGGACATTTGTCACTTTGTCGTTCATTTTCAGTCCAGTCCTTGTACCTGAACATTTTCAGAGCAATGATTTTTGTTTGTTAAGTCATGTAACTGACATAACTATTATTCATGCATAAACACCATGCACCAAATTCACAGGATGAACCAGTGTTGTGCCTGCAAATAACAAAGATCATTTATATTTGGTTGTCTGTTATTTGCAGGCATGTCTCAAAAACACACGAGAAAATACAATTTGACCGACATTGCTGGTGGAATATTTCTGCACCAACAGCATGCTGGTTCTGCTCGGTGTTTAACCTTCCCTGATGTCTGAAAACTTGACATATTGCCATATGGTGTGCACAGTGTCCTTAAAAAGGTGAAGGAAAAAAGCACAAGTGGCAATCTGTCGACAGGAGATGAACGGTATCCAAAATTCACAACATTAAGAAATGAGGGAAAAATCCAGCAAAGACCTACATCTTGACCTGAGAGATGCACCTGGAACAAGCCAGCCTTTACAAAGAGAAACGGAGAGAAAAGACACGAGAACTGGCCTGACAATCAGCAGGGAGGGATCTTACAGAGAGAGGAATGCTAAACGTTGGGTCAAACCATCAGTATGTGCAGAGGACGTCAGGAGCAAGGCACAACAGTCAGTGTCAACAGCATCCTTAGAACACAGTACAGGCTCTGTCAGGGTTTGGACTGCACCTCAGCCCATCAGATGCTGATTCATCATGGAAAGCATCTTATTGTGTACAGTCAGATGGTTTCTTAGGTGTTTACAGTCTCAGTAGGTTGCATGTCTAAGTAAAGTAAAATCTTTACTTCCTACTAAACTCCATTGCTGGTGTGTACGTAGAGTCTGAGCAGCAACACAGCCCAGTCTACGCCCAACATGTTCACATTGTCGTCCAAATCTTGAGGAAAATGTCATTTTCCTGGTGCAGCACAATTGTGACTGGGGAACAAAAGCACTGCTGGCGCAGATTTAAGACGTAAACACCTTAGATATGGTGACAAGCAGGCAGAAGTTAGGCTGATGTTTAATTCAGTGTAAAGTTAGACTAACAAATCATCTTTGCACGCACTAACCTGACAGTATAAAGCAACAGATGAAATATTATTATCATGTTCTGCAGTCAGTACTAGAAATACAGATCAAAACAAAGGCAGCCTTAATGGGCCAAAACCAATATTACTGCTATTATTATTAAAAACAGAGATGTCTTCTTTTTAATGCTGCTAGAAGAACGCTGCAGATTGTGGAGCCTACGGGAAGAAGGCTGCTTCACAGTCTGTGGGCGTATAAACGAAATGCAGCATGATGGCAGTAGGATTTAGCCCAGAAGAGGAGAGAAATGACTGTGCAAGTCCAAGCCTCGCACTGATCTGTCGGGAACAGACTAAAGCCCGAACCTGTGGCTGCTAATGTGCTAATCCTGATTATTCAAAACACAATGAAAGTAAGCTGCAGTAGTGCAGCGTTAAATCTGGACTCTCCTCACTCCTTTCTGTCTGCTGGCTCTGATCGACTGTGAGCCATGAACGATATCTGCACACTGACGATGTTTGATCTCAAATCTTTGTCCCCAACAAATCTGCTGTATGCAAAAGGAATCGTAACAGGATGCAGAGTCACTGGCCTCTGAAACATCAGGTAAACATCACTGCTATACCATTACAGCCTGCCTGGCCAACCTAGAGCAAAAAGCATCCTCAGTGTGTATCCACAACAATTTAACAGGTGATTTCTCTATGAGTGTGTTTGGCTCCCAGGACAGTGACGAGCATCGGCGAGGAGCACCTGCGCCAGCTGCCCCCTCCCTCCCTCCACCGTCCCCACCAGAGCAGCACAGACCCATCGCTGAGAGCGTTTACATCGTAATAGACGGACAGATGTTCACCTCTACGAAATAGAAGCAGGGCAGCAGGGTGACGCTGTCCTTGGTCTCCTTCCCGCCTTTCAGTCGCTCCTTGGCACGAGACATCACGAGCGCCCGCTGGTCTCTCCCGTTGCCGGGAGACAGGGAGCTGTACCTGATTCCCGTCGTAATTTTGCCGAAACTGCGGCCGACCCCCCCCTCCCCCTCGACCCTCCCTAGCTCCCAAGCCTCTAACGGCGGACCTCCATCGCCGGGCAAGGTGAGCTGGAAGTGTCGGTGCTTCCTGATGGGGTCCGTCGCCCCTGAAAATATGGTGGCTGGTAGGCTTTAAAAAGCCGTGCTAGCGCACGACTCCAGACACCGTCTCCTCCAGAAGTGTTGGACCGCTGTGGCGACACTCAGACCATTCATCGTGGAAACGTGTGTGATACTGAGAGATGAGCCCTTCGGTCACGCTGGTCCTTCGCAGGTACCTCAGAGACGCTCACCCACTCGCTGTCCTCCAGCTCTGCTGCAGCAGGTGAGCCTGGTTGTGTTCGCCGGAATAAGCGTCGATGGTTCCTGTCGGGCTTTTCAAAATAATCTCAAAGTACTGCTTTTTGTTTGTTTCGGCTTTTTTTTATTCAGTAAATGCAGCACAGTTGCTATATATATATATACATATATATATACATATATATATATATATAGCACAGGAAAATGAAGAAGAAAAAGATGTCCCACTATGCACCCATTTAGCCAGGAAAATGTACTGTACTTTCCATGTTATGTGACTGTTTTAGAGTCACAGACCCACTTGTGAATAGTTTTTCGTGGAGTACATGTCGATTATTGACCTATGAAACATATCAGCAAACTTGAGCTGCCACTTTGTTTCTGTTTTTGCCTGACAGAACTGACGACATTCCATAAATTTCTAAGTTATCAGCTAAACAGCAAAAATGTTTCCAAAGACTATGTATGTATCACAAATACACACTTATCTTCTAATTACTATACTTTCACTCACCAACACTGAAGCACAAACATCTTGCAGTTAAACAGTTCGATGCTCTAAAACGGGGGTGTCAAACTCCAGTCCTCGAGGGCCAGCATCCTCCTTGTTTTTGAGTTATCCCTGCCATACCTTCTGCTGATTACCTGGATCAGGTGTGCTTTGCCAAAAAGCTACAAAGGCAGGTTAGTTAGAAAACAAGCGAGACAGCGGCCCCTGAGGCCTGGATTTCGATACCTGTGCTCTAAAGGGTGACAACAGTGCAAAAACGGTCATGCCATACTGTAAACATGCTTTTTTAAATGTACTGCTTGTGTTACATGGACGTTTTGGGGGGGACAGACTCACTTTTTGAGCCAGTCACGAGTGTTAGAGGAGGGATGTGAAATTTATTTTACATCGTAGGCCACATACAGCTGACTTCGATCCTATGTGGGACAATTCATTGGCCAGACTATCCTGTAATCATAAATATAATGTTTTCATTAATTCACAGAAAATGTCATTTTTAAAATGTTTTTCTTATAACTGGGGACTCGCTGTACAAGAAAAATAAAAAAAGTAGTAGCTAAAAACAGAAAAACAGGAATTTTTCTGTCATTTATCTCTTAGTTAATTATTTTTGTGTGATATAAACTGGAATGGGAGAGGTGTTTATCAATGGGAAAAGCTGTAAAACAGTTAAAAGCTCACATTTTCTGAAGCTGTCCAGTGGGCCAGACTGGGGTCTTTGACGGGCTGATTCTGGCCACCAGGGGCCTGTTCTTCGTACCGCGCTAAGTGAGTTAGCTGGATGAGATTGTTGACGATTTCGCGTGATCCTGGATCGTTCGGTTCCCCGAAGCCCATCCGGGACTTGCTGTCATAGCAACAGAGCCGTAAGCGTAAACCTGCTGGGGAGCAGGTTTACTTTATGTAAACAGGATTAGATCGCGGCCACGCAGGTATGCCCGCGTCATTCATACGAAAGCAACAGCGATATTCCACCACTGTTTCACCATAAATAAATAACATCAATGTAACTAAAGACAATGCGGCACCTGATCCATTTATTGATTTCACACAGGTCATTTCCTAAAAAAGGGAAATGTACTATTAACATTCTATTACATGTATGTGATTATTACAGATTTAATTCATATTTCAGAGTAGTACCGTATTTCCCGGACTACAAAGCGCACCTGAATATTAGCCGCACAAGCTAAAATCAGGGGAAAATCCTGTTTTGTACATACATTAGCCGCACCTGACTAAAAGCCGCAGGTGTTTCAATGTTGACTCATCATATGTAAGAGAATATGCACAAAGCGAATTGTCAGGAAAGAGATGGCTGTTTGGAGACACACCCCTTTTATTAATATTTTGAAAAACAAGTTATGGGTACATATTTGCACATGTACTGTGCTTCATAAACGAGTAACAAATGTAGTACATAACAGTAGCCTACAGCACACCAGAAAAATAGATTCGGCCTACCTTTTAGGCTCAGGTGCAGTGACACGGCTTTAACAAGAAGAAAAGTCAGTCACTCACCATCTTTCTCTTCTTTCTGCCCACTAAAACCACCAAAGTCCTCTTCTCCAGTGTCGGAAACGAACAGGCTCAGGATGGCTTCGTCATCCACTCTCCGCTTCTCTCCTTCGTTGTCACTTTCAAAACCAAACAAATCCTCGTTGTCAGTGTCAGAGTCGAACACCCTCAGAAGGGCCGTGGCGGTGTCCTCCTCTCCATCATGCAACAGTCCAGCCCTTCGAAATCCGTTGGTGATCGTGGATGTTTTCACACTTTTCCACGCTGTCAGAATCCACCGGTGGAGTTGAGCATAACTTGCTTTTTGCAAGTTTATCGCCGCTGGTCATCCACGACTCCCGCTGAACGCGTAGCGCTACTTTGAAGTTTGTTTTTCGCGCTACTTGTACGGCACTATGTTGCCTGGCGGATGGACATGTGACTAACATACCACTCTTGAACCCCGATCCTTCCGCCAGGCAACGTAGTGCCGTACAACAGCGGAACAAACAAAACAAATCCTCTTACGATATCACAAAAATCATGGACAATCCATAGAAAAGCCGCACCTGACTAAAAGCCGCAGGGTTCAAAGCTTGTGCAAAAAGTAGCGGCTTATAGCCCGACAATTACGGTAATTGTAAATTACTTCGTGTAATCAAGATGAGAGACCACGGCTATAAAAGCGAAGGTGGATTTGGGAAGTCTGTCGCAGTCATATCCTGTCCGTATACGCGAGCCACCCATTGTGGAAGGTGCAAGATCGATAAGGAGAGTCTTCAGAATTCAGCGTATATTGCGGGACAGACAGGATCCTTTAGCTCAGCGCGACAGTGTGCTCATAGAGAGATATCGATTTTCCCGTGAGGGTATTATTCACTTAACCAACTTGTTGACGAGGGGGTGCAGGACCACCACCTGTCTTCTTCTGCTCTGCCCTTTTCTTGGTTGCTGTTATAAACAAACAGAGTATTCCAGGGTCTCTTTCCAAGAGACTAAAAGCAATATAAGTGATAAATATTACCATTCTGTAGAATATTCTTATATTTCACTTTTACTTGTTCCCATGTTCTAGTGGGTTCTGTCGTGGCTCTAATGTGAAAGAGGATAAAATATAACATATTATAATATAATGTAATATAATATTGGATAATATAGTGTCATATAATAAATCTACCCTACCGCCTACTGGTGTTGGCCAGAGGGGCCGATGGCGCGATATGGCAGCCTGGCTTCTGTCAGTCTGCCCCAGGGCAGCTGTGGCTACACCTGTAGCTGCCTCCACCAGTGTGTGAATGTGAGAGTGACTGAATAGTGGCATTGTAAAGCGCTTTGGGTGCCTTGAAAAGCACTATGTAAATCCACTCCATTATTATTGTTATTATTAAATTACTTACGAGTTTGATTTGTCAGCAACTTCCTGCCAGCCCTCTCTCCTTGCTTTTGCAGCCTTTGCAGTGTTCCCTTGCGTTCTGATTAAACTCTGAAACTCCTGAAATCCCTCACTCAAGAGTTCTTGCTCTGCTGCCGAAAAATACCGCTCCGTCGACATTTTCGCCGACCAATCAGAGGGTTGCCGATCAATGTTTCTACTATCGATGCGTAGCCCCTTTTACGACACCCAGTGATGTCACATTACTGCGTCCAGCTGTAGTAATCGTCAACAGCAGGTGTGTTCGGGGAACCGGATTAGCGCGCTCACGGTTAGCGCGATGGTTTGGTCTTGGATGTTTCATTTGATCTTGGATGTAGTAAGCGACGTACAAAGCACAGGGCCCAGGCCTGCAGTGTTTCTGACTTCAGCTCTACAGGTTAATTGACACTTCTTCTGTAATAACTACACATATTTTGACATATTAAGAAAAAATACTATAACAAAATCAGGTAGTGCCACTTTGCTCAGCAACTGATCTTTTTTTTACTTCCAAAATATGTTTTTTGTTGTTGTTTTTGTTTGTTTGTTTTTTTAAATATAGCGTTGTGCATCTTCTCCTCCAGTATGTGCACTGCAGACAGGCAGGTTGGAAAGAGTCTGATTTCGGGACATTTTTATTTCCCAGAAAGTCTGACAAACTGTTTATATTCCAAATGTAGAAGTTGTTGATATAATGGCTGAAATTAGCCTAAAAAATGTTACATTTCCTTCAAATTTTCCGCTTTAGATCTCAGTTAAGATGAATACAGTAGCCTATTATTAAAAATAAAATAGCTGAAAACACAGATGTGTTGCATTTTGAAACTGCAGAATGTTTAAAACATGTGGAGGAAACTCGCTAAGCACATGCCTAACATGATCTACGCCTTTGCTTCTGCTGTATCAACACTAACCTTTGAATCACACGTGAAAATCCATCTTCTCAACACACGATCTTCGGAAAAAAATCAAACCTGATCGACGCACATGACGTCACATGTTCTAAAAACCTATTTTCTGCAGCGCGCTTGAATGAATATGAAGGATCCTTTCTCTCAGCACTGGGCCGTAATGTTGTGTAATATGTGGGACACGCAGCCCTCGGGCCATGCTATGGCCGTGGGACACAGCCTGCTGTCAGTGCTGTAACAGGTGATCAATCCCATCACCCACGCTTAGCTTTTCATGAGGAGAGAGAGCTGGAGTGCAGAGAAGTCACTGATCAGGAAAATAAATCATTTACAAATATGATAAATAAACTAATCTAAATACATTTCTGCACTGCATTTTAAGCACATGGTGAAATCGAAAGTGGAAACGGACTGGCATTTTATAGCACCTTTTATCCAAGTATTCATACAGTGCGTTACAACCCGGCATCCACAGGCAGCTCAGAATCACCACTTAACCTACAGGCGAGTCTTTGGACAATTGGACAATGATGCTTATGTATGAGTGTTAATCCTCTAAGGCAGGAATGGCCCAGCGGTCAGTTCTGCAAAGTGTGGAAATTACTGAG